CAAATATATTAAAAAATATCTTAAAATTTATCCGTAGACCAACCAACACCGCAGTTATATCATCCATAAAAACAGCTAATTTGGTGCCAATATGGGACCAGTATTTATTTCTATGTTTGCATGGATACATATTGTACATTGATTTTTGATATGCTTCCACAATAGAACTCCACTATATTATTCTTTGTAAATCTAATTTAGGTATAGAAAATAGTAAATTCTGTGAAATTTACGTTGGAGTCACATTAACCATTAATAATTTCCACGAAGTAAAACGATGTGATTAATTATACCAAAACGGTTTATTGCCACGACATGTTTATCATAATTTGCTACTGATAAGAGAAGCAAATTAAATTTTATTACTTTTATTTGTAAATATATCTGTTTTGAACTACAGATTACTCTTTGTTGGCCGAATTCTCATTATATTCCCATTATATAAATACATATATCAGAATTTGCGTCAAACCCGGTAGTTCTGATTTTTGCAGTCTTGTTTATAATGTTGGCCAAATGAATAAATTTAAGTTTGTGACCTCGAGCACCGATCGGAACTATGTCAAAAATCTTAAAAAACCACGAAAATTCCGGCTCTTTTCAGATTTTGGTGATTATAATATAAATAGTTTTTGATAGTTGCAAAGTCGCGTTCAGAACAATTTAAAAATTTAGATTATTTCTTGGGCCAATAACATAAACAAGTCTGTAAAAATCAAAACTAGGTACCGGATTTCATGCAAACTGCTATTTACTGCAAATTTTACTGTACTAATAAGCATATCTATACATTCGCTTGCCATGCTGCCGCATTGTTTAGGTATGCCAACTAGTCCGACCCCATTCCCAACAAAGCGTTCTGCGTAAAATCTCATATCAGCTTATGAAAACATACCTATTTTTAGAACATATCAAGGCGCAGAGCGCTTCAACTTATTATCTGTTTATTTTAGGCACAACGGGCGTTTGCCAAGATGCCCGTTTATAATTTACGATAAACACGAGTCGAGAGGTGTCGATGTAATGCAAACATCGCGTGTTCTTTTTCTAGATTCATTCTTATGGATGATGTTTTCAATTTTTGTGGATTGTATTTATCGACACATTCCCCCACCGGATGCGAGTCGCTCATGTTGCTACGCGACTTTATCAACATGTGCGATTTCGCAGAGCAAGCTCCCTTGTGCCTTTATTAAATGCATTATAATAAATTCTGCGGTCCCGACCACTTGTCGGACCTGTCGTGCGACCGGTGTAACTGCATCCGTTAACTAGCTGATATCAAACTCTTTCCTGTGCTTATCTCAATTAGAAAGCTAATTAGTGTTAGAGTTTGACAATACCGACAACGGATTATTTAGTAATAGAAAGTTCGTACAGTACTTCCTTATAATTACTAAAAATATTAAAGCACTTTCGGACTTAAAACTGCATTAACATTGTGCTTCTAATTCGAATCTTATAATGCTCATCAGGATATTCACGTGAAACTTGTTCAGTGGGAAATTTAATCGTAATTGTCAAACTGGAATATTATTTATTTTCCAATAAACTAACCGCGAAAAGTCCATTATAAACGTTCAAACATACATATTAATAATGTAATTAGTTGCATGCAGGATAATCCTGCTTTCATGATTTTTTATAATAAGCCGTTAGAGATATTCCAATATTGATAGAATAATTTACAGAATCGAAATCTTTGAGGTAACATTGGGCAATGTGGTCTATCAAGTCACAAATTCTCACGGGCCAGTTGCGACAACCGGTTCAGCAAGCTTCATACTGCGCTGGAAAGGAACCTACCCGACGAGACACATAAAAGGAAAACGGCTCGGGTTTTTGTACTTCAAGCATGCTCGATCATTAGCTCGTCCGTTCAACGGTCGAACCATTAGAGTCTAACCTCTTACTACGCCTACAAATGTTTCCGCACCATAAGACGTCACGCTTGTAAGCCTATAGCCGTGATTCTGATTGTACGTTTCCTTAAACGCTATGTATGACTGATTACCGGGAAACAATGCCTCATCATATTGTGCATAACTTCATTGTTCTCAAGAAACCCAATACAATAAACATATTTTACGGTTGCGTTTTTTTACTAATCGTGTAATAGTTGCGTCGTTTTGAAAGAAATGCTTTCCATGACTCCTCAGTTTACAAGTAACATCTTAACGGGTTTGTTGATCAAATCCAACTAGATATTACACACGGGTAATTTTGATTCGATACGCCGCCAGTTCATTCGGAATATAAATCACAACTTGTCAGAACAATAATAATTAGCACATTTAAGTTTAGTTATTGGCTGATTGTAATATGTAAATTAAAAACACCTAGAACAAATTCAAATAAAGAATGACGCAAGTTAAAAAGTACAGTAAACTTACATAAGAATTAAATAACCGATATTTGAATTAAAATTTTAAACATCTGAATTTTTTAACAATAGAATGAATAGCATATAAAAGTACATGTAATGTAAGTACTTATAATATTTTTCTTGAATGTCATGAACTGTCTACTTACTAACACGAATTACGAAGTAACGAACGACTAATAAATGGAATGTCATCAACAGGCGATTGTTTCACAATTTACCTACATATAGAACAAGCACCTTCATCTTGTATAGTTATAAAAAAATAATTTAAAAAACGAAAATATTAAAAGAAAAATTTAACTAGAAAGAAATCCATTTGGTCCAGGTTTCAGAGGGTGGCAACCCGCATTTTCCACCCGGATAGCGGAAGATGTTGGTTTGAATCCCATCTCATCTTTTTGTAGTATTTTTTTCTTTAGATTTAAACATCTAGCATATAAATGCTTAAAAATTAAAATATAATGACGAACAGTACTTCTGTGCTTCTATAATTCTATGTCGCAATCATCACTTGGCAAACATTATTGTGGATAAATGTTGATGGATTGACTGACGCAAAGTTCACTTTCTATATTTGGCCACATCTTGCAGTCAATGGAAGGAACGTTGAGCGCTTCGATTCGAGACTGACTTTATTAAGCTCGATAAGGCAAAACGGCTCATATTTTATGACTATATGTAAATGTGTACTATATTAGCCATGTAAATATTTATGACGGTTGGTAAATCAATACAGTTTATGTGAGTTCTAAGAAACGGCAAAGAAACTTTAGTATAATCAATAATTATGGATGATTTAAAAATACTGTGTTATGTATGATCATGACTATTCATGACGAGGGCCATATCTTGTTATGTATCTCTTATTGAATTGATGTGAAGTGCGACGCATGCATTCAGTTTCTCAGTTGAACAGCTGCAAGCTAGTTGACATAATCATGCGGGCAAACAGAAATTACAGAGAGCCACCTGCCGCCCTCGTGCTTATATTAAGCTTTATCTGTGGTCAGCCGGCTGCCACCTTTAATGCACACCTATAAAATAAAAACCATGAACTAGCGATTGTCATGCGAATCCGGGGTGTTTGATAGTTAATGATATCTTAACATGTAACAAGAAAATTATAAAAAAATATAGTTATTTTTTTCATTCTTTAGGTGACTCCGTGGGACTCTGGGTGGACCGCAGTCCCAAATCTGACTTCAGATTCGAATTTTGCGACCACAAATTACTACATGACCAAAATTAAAGGTTTGGATCAGAAGAGAAAACAATAAAATTTTGCGGACAGAAATATAGATCGAAACGAACCACGTTATGGATTCCAAATGTGTATGATAGTAAACTATCACACTTTTTTAAAACGGGCAGTTTAGGTTTTTTTCTCTACTTCAATGAATATTACAAAAAAGAGCTTTTATTAATTTGACGATGTATTGGCATGTTATTTGAAGCATCCTGATATGATGCTTTACGTTCCAAATTAAAATTTTGTGGACATGTCCACGAAATACTGACACGAACCACGTTATAGATTCCAAAGCGTGGAAGGTAAATTCCAAAAAGTCAGCACAGTTTGCTTGAAGTAGGTAAGTACAGTCACCAAGCCTATAAATCACGTTGACCTCAAAAAACCGCTCTCAACTCAGAAAAGGTCATATTAATTAAAAACCAAAATAGCTTCAGCACGTACTCCGTGTAGTATTGTCTGCTCTTGAAATATTTTCCTGAGTAATTATTAACAACTCGGGCAGTTCAAACAAAATCTTGTTTATCGAGCCAGCGAGATATGTGGGTGCTTACATAAAAGTAGAAATATTTTTTGTGAACTCGTCTGACGAAAAAGGTTGTTTATTTCTCATACCTCTTACTTGACAAAACAGGTTGCGATAACCGAATAACCGGTCCATGTCTGCTATTCTTGACAAGTTCATAAATATTCAACAGTTAAATATTTGACCTTTGGATAAGCAAAAAGTTTCTTTTTTTATAAAAAGTTATTAATTTTGGGTTTGTAGTTTTGTTTAGCACTAAAATAATAACAGATAAAATAATGAATCTTAATATTAAACTGGAACTTGTTATTGATATGTTTGACACAAATGTCTTATTTTTTTATATCACTGTTTTTGGAACAAAGTTCCTCTTCGGACGGAAGGAAGGGTGTATTAAATATTATTATTAATTATGTTTATGTATAAATAAATTGCAAACACCCTTGCAGGGTGTCACATGTACTATTATAATATATTACTAAATTGTCATCTTTTAACCATGTGACTATGCTATAAAGAATTTGAATTTGAAGGGTTAAGCAAAAAAGTGTAATATTTTTCCGTCACGGCGGAATTGCTGGATTGAGATATTAATACGCCATTTTGAAAAATTTTGGCGGAAAATTTTGATCTTGGCGAGATTATGTATTTTATAGTACCTTTCCCCTCCACCTATGGTAGTCTTCACCCACTATGGTCGGGTGTTCCCTATGGTAACTTACCTCCACATAAGGTATGGTATTTATTTTAACTTCGTTCCAACCGAGTGTTCCACGACACTCACGTATTTTTAAATATATTTTATATACCTATAATAAAAACTTTTTCCTTTGTTTCAGGCTCATCTCCGGAAAGTGAATCCAACGAAATTAACAAGAAAGGTAAAATTAATCTTATATGTATAGTACGCTTACCTACCCACTAACTAAATGCCACTTCCTACCGTATACCGTGTTATTCGGAGTTTGAAGCAATAACTGAATAACAAAGTTCTAACTAACCGATGTCAAATTAAATTACTAAATATAATATAAAATATAGTTCATATTTCAACTCAACTATGGAGTTTTAAAATAATAAAATACTCGTTGCATATTAGTATTTGTTATGTTGTGTCATTTTATCTGGTAATGCGGACTCAACTCAAATTATTGCAAAGAATATGATATCAGAATTGACGGAACATCGTGACACGGTAAACAGGTAATAGTACAATTAGCATTTGCTCAAAATTAACTGCAACTGTAAATCTATACAATAAATAAATAATAGGTATATGATATCATCACCATTCATAGGAAAGACCCATGCCCCTAAGTGGGGATATTAATACGCTGAGATGACTATGACACCTTTTTTTAACTAATATTTAGTATTCTAAGCTTCATGTTTTTCATTTATGGTAATTTTAGTGTATATTCTTTATTTCTAAATGATAATTATTATATCATGTTTCTTGTTGTTAACTATTACATATGTAAGTGGTGTAGTAAATATCTTCCACATAAAAGTCATTTTAAAATCATTTGCTGGCTTCGTATTTTATTATTCTTCTACTATATTCATAGCGTCATAAACGTGTTGTTATTGAGATAGGTGATTTCACATTCAAATGATATCTTTGTTTGTCCAGCCTCATCTGCGTATGGATGGACCACTTATGCATCACACCCGGCCGGTTTCAAATCAGAGGTCACTGCGGACGACAATACATTTGTTATTATTATTTCGAAATCTGAAATTCAATTAGCTATTCGAGTAACGGGGTCACGACGTTTCCGATATTCTACATAATACTTTATTCGTCTCTCTGTTTTACTTATGCTAAATAGTATCATTTTATGTACCACGATCACAACGGTACACATCTAATCGTTATTTATGTTATTCTTATATAATAGAATCTTTACGTGGGCCTGCCGGAACGTTATTTGACATTTTATGTTCTTCAGACTCGTTATGGGTTAAAACAACATTTCTCCCCTCCAGCCGTAAAAGCAACCACACACGAGGCGTCATTACCACCACCCTCCCAGCTGTTATAATTTGCTTTCTTTTTTCTTCATACACAACCTTTGATCTGATCTAAATTTGGTACTGTGTTACTAAATCTAAATTTAATCATCAATGAATAATAATTTTAGTAACGAACGATTATACATTTGCAAAGATTTCATAAAAAATATAGAAAATTTGCATTTTGAGGGTGAGTCAGTATATTCTTTATATCAATATCCAACAAGAAAAAATCGTAGCAAATAAATTGTCATGAAATATATTCCGAAAGCTAATGGAATTTGATATAAATAAAAAAAAATAACTCAGTTGAAGCAGTAACAATCTCTGCGTGCGTCATCTAGATAATTAAACGAATATTCGTGACACGAATCGTTCTAAAAACATTTTTATATGGCGGGGAACCGGTTTTGTGTTATTTGTCCATGTTTAACTTACGATTACCGGTCGCTGTGGCTGGCTGACTATACTATACGAACTGCTATTTATAAACACCTGCTTTATATGCGTGAGTGATCGCGTCCGACGGATATGATTAATCCCGAACGAGAATTTTATTGCTGCGAACGCGTTCGATATGCGATAGCACCATTATTTATATTGATGACACGGCCAACTGCGATGGCGAAACTTGATAAATTAACGACGGAAATATGACCACGCGGCGTAGCAGAAGGAAAGTGCAATAATTAACTTTAATTACACGGAGTATCGGTGCAGACGATTAATAGTTTCTGACAAACAGAGCGTCTTGTATGATTCGTGTCAGGTTTAACGCTTGAAACCTAATACGAATCTTACCCTCATTGTTGTACTTACGTTGTGTACTTTCATGTAACTTGTGTACTTTCTATTTTGAAATTTCAAACACTGGCATTAGAATAGGCATATAAGATTTGACAGGTAACTAAAAACATCCACGTGAACAATACCATGACAATCGGATGAGGTCAAACGCGTCGGACCAGTTCACGAGTACCAAGAAAGTTGTCTCGGTGAAAGTACGCGGCCGCCTCTAATTCGCTCAGTGGCATTATTAAATGCGTTTCATAACGCGACTCGTAACACCAACCGGTTCTTTTAGACACGATAGTGTTTTTAATAATATCACGGTGATGCTGCGCTAGGAATAATAATAGATTACGAGTAATGTATGTGAGATTTGTGAGGCGAACCTGTCTATTGTTGTCGGGGAGCATTTTGGGACGAGGGTCTCGGACGGCTATTAGGATTTTGAATGTATTTGGGCCACACCGCTCCCTTTTAAACCTTTCGCCCTTTAGTATCGCTTGTTTCTCTACCTACGGCTTGGGTAACTGAGATTTTGACCTTGAAACATCGTTAAGGATTTTAGAATGCTTTGAGCCTGAGTTTAATTTGTTTGATACGTATATGATTCACAGTTTTTGTGACTGATTCGTTCGACTGCTTAAATTAATTATCTGTGGTTTAAGGCCTTTATGCAGCTATTAATGCAATGCGGCTTACAATAACAAATTACTGCAATTTGCAATTGGTGCTTTAAATAGCCCACATACAAAAGGTCATCGGACTGCCTGACTTTTCATAGCTCATAAATCCATAGTAATATTGCAACTATTTCATACAGTTCATTAATCTATAAACTATTGTTAAATAATTCATATTTAAGAATAAATGTGATAAATCCTGCAAATTTTCAAACTCTTCATTTGGAAGAAATATTAGTATTTATACCTTATTAATAAATTTGCATACTTACATAAGTGTCTGATCGTTATGGAGGCGAGTTTACTTTGAATTAATGTAAATGGAATTGTGGCCCGCATGTAATTATCGTTACTGCTTAAACGTTATTTTTACGATATGGCAGCTAATATCACAGTTTCTCACATGCCGCCTTTGCAACCGGTTGGCATAACATGCAATTTTGCACAACTTTCTATACAACCTCCGTATGAATGCACGCACGACGCGCTCTACTTCAACAAAGCAATAAAAGCTCATATAAAAATGTGAAAATGGTAATGCTGTTTAAGTACCAAAATTTTTTTTTTGAAAAAAAAACAAAACACTCGTGTATGTAATGATACCATTGAACACAAGTGTAATTCGTTTTAAATAATTCCTTTAGATGACGTCAATACACACAGATCAATTACAAAAACATCTGACCTATCAAAGAAGACACAGAAGATCAACATTGATAAACGAGTTGTGTCGATTTACATGAATAGACAATTGAACAAAAGAACCAAGTACCTACCTACATGATATTGAACATTTGACTGAATAATAATTGTATGATAATACCTTGTTGTGGGTCGCATTGAATATTTAACGAGAAAAGAAGGGAAAACAAAAAAAAAACGCCTCAAACACGTACGAGTATGTAACACCTAGTTGCATAATTATTTTTGTAACGATACAGCAATATTCATCATTTTAAATATCTGTTTATTTTTATATCATGCAGTTGAGACTGAACATTCTAGTATTTTTAGCATACCGTTATATTTATTAGCAAAGTTGCAAACTGAATTTGTAGTTAGTCATCCTATCACGGTGCATATTTCGTCAGGGTTTACTTATAATGATCGGCCACAACCAGAAGATACTGCCACCTGCTGTGGACCAGTAGAGCGAGTTTCGAACGCCTCGTCTGGAGCCCATGACGAGCAGTTATGAAACAATTTATCTCAGTCATGTTTTTATTCTACTTCTTGCGCAATAATTGCCGAGATCGACACAGCACCGTTCTCCGCCCCCTCGTAATATAACTGCGAGCTAGTGCGCGGACAAAACGTTTTATTCAACTTTAATCATAGACATCTCTTTAATACTGACGTTGAGAGGCGGTAAAAACTGGATCTTATTATGAACGCTTTATTATAGTCCCGTCCATGTGTTGTCGTTACGGAGTTTGCTGTAAAACTACTATAATTATAATCCTTACGCGTTAATATGTAGTAGGTAGGTATCACTAAAATAAACTATTAGTTATATAAAACTGGAATATCTATTACATTTCATATTATCAGCCGTCGTAGTATCGTAATCGTATAAGAATTCATAAAACTATCACGCAAAATGTGTTACACATTGGTGTCGATTCTGGCATGATTCTCTAAACCTAAACTTAACTTATTCAACAGTGTATCCTTGTCATTCCCCATGCAGAAAGAAAAGGAGGGACTGACATTAAATTTAGTTTTAAGATTTTTAGAGAATCATGCCAGAATCGACACTATTTTATCGCATCTATAGTCTAACAAACAATGTATTCGAGTCTCCGTGGCAAGGCACCGCAATCAATTGAGAAATTTCATCTGTATTCCAAATGCCAGGTCATCGAGTGTAAGTTTACATAAAAGATATTGTATCATCGACCATTCTCGTGCATAAAAAAATAAACGTGCCGGTGACGTGACATTTTGTGGGCCGAAAATCTGCTTTGTACACACCCATTGTGTTAATACAATAGCGCGCGCATGATTGACGGATTTTTACTTAATCACAGTCTGTTAAATTTTAGACATTTGACAAAGTTGCACAGAAATAGAAAGTAGCGCGCTGTCTCATTGAAAAAACATTTAGAGTAGGTACCTGATCGGTCTCCCGGTGCGCATTGGGGGGACCTCGGTCCCCAGAATGCGTGCCGGGTGAACGGTGCAGGAGCATTGTCTGGTTTTTAGTGGCCCTGTTCAGGGCTATAGGTAGGGCCCTGCTCATTTTATCCGGCCCAAGGGCTGGCTGAAATGAGCAGGGAGGAGTCCCACATACCTTCTCCTCGCTCCCCCGGTGGTTGAAGGATACGTAAGGCATTTCCCATACACAAAAAAAAAAAGGTACCTGATCGGTAATTTTTCTGCCTTGTTATAGTTAT